GTTTAACATACCGATCATTTACCAGCCATTTTCCCATCCCCCCTCATATGTTCAAACAGGTTTCCTTCCCACTCTGCCTGAATACAATTATTAAATAGAATATTCCAAAAGTAGCCCATTGGGCTTTCTTATATTGTCTCTTGAATGCTACCTGTTATATGTCACATTCATCACATGAAAGCAGAGCTATGAAGGGTTTTGAGCTACTGAGCAAGGCAAGGTTCCCACCTCTGAAACCTAAAAGAACTTCAGAAGCTGACAAGGCCAAAATTGTCCTGAAGTTTGCACCAGCCTCATCTTGCAATGGAGTACTGGATGCCTAATAAAGTATCACCTACATCTCGCAGCTCTGAAATGTATATATTTCTCTTTGTAATGCTGAATCTCGGTATACAGTGTAATAGTAACACTAGGCGTACTTCAATGAAAGTCTAGAGGGAAAAGTGCAGCTGTAAGATACTGAATAACTATTTAAATGCTTCACATTTTTAACAGATTACAGTGCAGTTACAACACTGATGAAGTCTACTCTTGAAATCCAACTTCCATGTAGGACAGCTAAAGGACAATCAATTACCACAATGTTCAGCATTAAATTATGCAAAATTTCATAATTTTTGAAGACATGAAGGGAAACCAGATAGTAAAAGTCAGAAAAAATACCGATATTTTACGTCCTTTACTAACTTAAAACAGTATATTTTAGTTAGATAGAGGAATTAAAACTCAGTTATACATATAGGCATGCAACAAAACTGCTTCATTCTAAAGCTGCACAAACATTTTATGTAGTAAGGGTCACAATTCTTAAAAAAAAAAATAAATCAGAACTTTGCCTTCTTCCTCTGAGTTTGTACCACTTTAGCTTCACTTCAGCAACCACGGTATAAATTGTATAGATTCTGCTGCCACAGAAGGTAGTAGTCATTCGCACAACTGCTTTCAGTATCAACCCTCCAGGTTGTATTTCCCACCAAACCAGACAGGAGATTAATTTGTGCTCATCTGAGTCAAGACTAAGTGTAATATCAAATTTATAACTGGAATTACTTCTGTACTTAGCTCTAGTGACTCAAGTAATCCTGTAACCCCAGCGGGAACAATTAAGTTCCATTTTTAGATATCGCAGAGTATCTCAGCCATCCAAACAAGAATGATGGTCATGACAGAACCAAGATCTGTGTCTTTTTGGAGCAACAACTCAAAGGTGACCACAGTTTGGATCCCTAATCCCACTCAAAGAAACTACTCAAATACTTAACAATACATACGTTTGAGGTCTGCTCTGACTGTGCCCTCCCACACTAAATCTGGTGAACAAAAAAGAAAAATCTTCCTATCACATAGTGATTTAGCTTTTCTCAGAAGGTCATCGTTCACATTTGAACAGAAATGTTTAAATTTTCTGTTGTTTTTCAGGCCTATCATAATTTCTGTGGTGTCAAATATATGCAACTGCTCAGAGCTAAACACATGAGACGAACCGACCCAATAGAATTTATGAGCACTACTCAAGTCTTCATAGTTCTCATTCTACAGCCACCGAAAAATAACTGTTTCATATGTTTGGATAATTAACAGCCAGTTTTCAAACCTTGTGCCATCTGTCAGCCAAGACCCAAAGACCTATGAAATTCACAGCTCTACTTAAAAAAAAACCTCTCTGAGTAGTAGCATTGTTCACTTAGAAAAAAAAAATCAAACCAAGAACACAGAACCAATAGTTTTTATTGTAGATGAACTGCTGATTGTTTCAGAGTAAATGATACTTACACTGAATTTTGAGACTGCTATTTCAGAACCTTTGTAACTGTATCACCTCCCAAGACAGAAGACTACAACTATCACCTATCCTATGACATAAAAAAAAAAAAAGAACATAAAGAGACAGCTACATTAGAAATGTGCCTTTGTTTTTTCATACAAAATTTATTACATGCTGCTTTACCCTACTTAAGGCAGACTGTCAGGACCTTGAGGATTCCCAAACCTCTCATAAGTGGTCAGACCCCCACTCTTTACTAATATCTTACCTGATCATCAGAGGACTGTTGACTGATCCTGTTTACTTTCTCTGGACACGATCCTGACTTTCTAACTTGTGCTCAGATCTGTCTCCTCTCTATAGATTTGCCTAGCACTGAATGCAGGTACCATCACCATGTGTGCTCTGCTCACCCTGTTTGGGCACTCTGGGACTGCAGCATTTGTGAGTGAGAACTTTACGAAGTGTGAATTCACACTCATGAATTGTAGCTATGACTACTGCTTCTTAGTAAACAAAATTAATAGATTTCACTACTAACCTGCTTCAAATCATAATACCTGAGGTTACACCAACTGTGTACTTCTTCACACTACTAATACATCATCTTATAAAAGGATTCTCACATCTTCATTTGTATGATACATGGATGCATTTTCTTCTGCACAACCTTAGTGTTATCAAAAGCTTGTAAATGTTAGCATGTCACCTATCTGTTTGTTTCAGTATCCTCTGTCTTTCAAAAAACCCATCTTCTGGCTTTGTTGGTATAGCATTCAGAGGACATTTATTTAGAGAGGAAAACTATGACTTCAAAAGCATATCTGACTCTGGATTCAGTTCGTTTGCTGCTTTTTTTAAAGGAACAATGAGGTAAAAAAATGCAAAGGTTAGGTAGCCACTTGTCTCAAAATCCACAACACTTCAAGATCAAGCCAGGTAAGGTAATTGCAGTTTTTCCAGCAGATAATTTACTTATAGACTTCCAAAAGTATTAACTACCCAAAATACTAAAAAGGCACTACATGTTTATGCTTTACCTTTATCTTTTCAGAGAACACTTTTATTTGATTCAACATCAAGCAAGAAGCTCTGCTCCAATATTTTTATTATAAGGCATAGAAACAGTCACAGGAAACCTCCCATGTAGATCACAGACAGCTAAGCTAGTAAAACCAAAATGTTTTAAAAGAATAAGATCTATGTTTAGACCTTGGCAACAACTCTTCCACCTGATGCCTTCCCACCCCTTCTCTGCCATAATACTTTGTGATTTTACATTAGCACAGGAAGCAACTCCAAAAGCAAGGAGAACAACTAATCACATCGTATATATAAATATCAAGCAAAGACAAAAATGTGAATACATAAGGATACAACGTTTAGGCAATATGACTTAGGCTGTCAGGGTCCATCTGGAAATACTGATTCTATGCATAAAGTATTTCAAAATGCATAGACAAAACTTAAATACATACATACATTACTACCCACTAATTTCAAAGCTGTTCTGCCAACAAGATGGCCATCAAGCTTTAGCTAATATATGAGGCCTTTTGCCTCTTTAAGTTAAATGCACAGGTAAGTAAAGGTATGCAAGATTACCTTTTATGGGCAGTAGAATGTGATGGAAGTTAGCAAAGACTGAAGGAAGGCAAAAAAACCTTTGAAAAAAGAAAAGTGCACAGCTTTTCCTGAAGCATCTTCTGCAAATGAAGAAATCCAAACAGAGAACTTCAAGTTACAGAGAATCTGTTATAGATTCCTTTTATCATGATGCACTGCAGATGAGAAGTGGAGCATGGATTCTGCTCAAAGTTACAATAGAAGTCTTTCCCTAAAGAGAAACTAGAATAAGCTTTTGCACTTCAAGCAGTATCTTCAAATTGGAAGTATAATTCAGGTGTGTGCCTAGTTTAGGTCTCACAACATTACACAGGACCAGTAACACAGCCTGACGAGCACTGCAGAGGCAGCTATTTTGCATCTAATACCCCTTACTGCCCTGGATTTTGCTAGATGTTATTTGACTAACTATTACAAAAAGGATGGAAATAGGACAAAAAGCATCATGTATTTCTGCTGCTGAAGAATTCTAGAACGACACCTTTTCAGTGCTTGGTGCCAAAAAGAACAGTGCTCACTGACATTGGTACCAGCCCACACTATTGCTGGCAGCAGACTCAACACCAGGACTTGTGCTCACCTGGAAGGTCATTGCACTGCATACAAGTGAAAACAGATCTTATCCTATGGAATTCTAGCCTAATGAATACTGCCTACGTTTTATGACCATAAAAACTAAACTAATGATTCAGGCTGACTCTAATGAACAAATGTTAGGAACACTATGCTTCAAGCATCTACGTCAACGGAAGTATGCTTGGCTTGAAATGTGACAGATCAATTTTTAAAAAGCTTACCTATTCCAGCTAACATTCTAAACTCACTGCCATATACTATCTGCATGCTTTAAAATGCCTGCAACAAGTTCAGTAATATTATCAAAGTAGGTAGCTTCAGAAGTTAGTTGAGCTGGATTCAGATAACAAAGGAAAAAACAGGAGGGGAAGCATCCAGGGAGATCAGTTCGTTTTGACAGCCTACGCCAGTGAGGGAAGAAAGAATTCACAGCTGTATGACAAGGCAACAGTGCAAACACTAAAAGCTTTATAGTACATTACAACAAAGCAGTTTGAGATGCAGCATAGAACTCATTTCCAGACATTGGTACCCTGGTTACTTTAGACATAAGGTAAGGGAACCAGTAAGCTTGAACGGGGTGGGAGGAGGCTAGAGAAGAAGAAGGTAAACTCAATATATACCCAAATTAATACGGTAACTATTTAGCTCAACCACACGAAAGAAAAAAAGACCGTAGTAGCGTTACCCCTAGCACAAAACTAGGGTTAAAATAAAGAAGATCCAAACTTTTCTCTTTTTTTCCATCGAAATAACATATCTGAAATACAACTTGTGTTATTTTAGCTACAGAAGGAAGCACGGAGCCCTGAAGTTGTGAAACGCTGCTTATCCTCCGCGCCCCGCCCCCACCTCGGGCCTCCGTAGCCCGCTGAGTGTAAAGACCCCGGCCCGCAGCTCCCACGGGGTCCTTCCCTCCTTCCTTCCTTATTCCCTTCCCCCTTTCCGTCCTTCCTTCCTTGCTTGCTTCCTCTCGCGGGAAGCCCGAGGTTCGGCGGAGACCGACACCGAGGAAACCTCACGGCCCCCTCACCTTGAAGGGGTTGTTGAGGTCCGGGTCGGCGAAAGGGTTGCTGTCGAAGTCCGACATGGCGCGGCACAGGCGGGCGCTGCGGTCCCCGGGCGGCGGCTCTGCCCCTGCGGCGGCGCCCCGACAGTGCCCAGCGCAGGTGACCCCCCCGCCGCTGTCACAGCCGCTGTCACAGCCCCGCGGCCAGGGCCGAGCCCGCCCCGCCGCACCGACCAGCTACGGACCGCCCAAAATGGCCGCCCCGGAAGTGAAGTTACGGGTGGGATGGCTCTGGGAAAGAGAAAGGGATGAAGGCGGGGCGGCCGCTCCCGGGGCAGGCGAGAACGGAGCTCATGCCTGAGCCGGGCCCTCCCGGCTGGGCGGGGCGAAAGGAGTGCGGAGCGCGAGAAGAGCGAGAAGAGCCGGTTCGCCGGCCGGCCAGCCGGCTGGCTGAGGGCTGGGCATAAGCTGTTGGTGGGAGGGCCCGCAGTTAGGGGCCGTCCTCGTGTTCACAGCTGCTCCTGTGGGCCAATGCGGGCTGTGTCCCGCGCCTTCGGCTGGCTGGGAGCCGGGGGAAAGGAGGCCCGGGGCTCCCCGGCGGAGCAGCTGGGCCGGTGGGCAGGCAGGGGCGGCCTGGCCCGGTGGGTGCGCGCGCGTTCCGCCCCAGCCGGGCCCGTGCGGCCTCCCCGCCCCTCCGCTCCCGCACCCCTCAGGGCCGGCCGGTCTGGTCTGGGGAGTGAAGTGGACGAGCGAAGGTAGTTAAAATGCCTTACTTGGTAAAACATGAATTTACTCTCTCGCTCCCGCCTCCTGTTGGCATGGTAAATAGTTTGCCCGGCTTGTGGATGCTCAGGTTCTGTAAGGACCGTAGGTAAGGAATGGCTTTGAGACATGGTCACAAAATCCCAGTTCTGTGGGAGGAAGCATTAAAAAGGACTCTTGGAAGTATTCAAGCATTTCCAACAGTTCAAGACTTTTTAAATACTTCCTCAGAAATGCTGACAGTGCAGTTTGAAGAACCTGCAAGGTTCAAAAGATGCAAATAAATTGAAATGAGCACCTTTGGTTCAGACCTATGGTTGAAATGTGAACTTTAGTACTACCAAAACAGTCTACATTGATGCAATGCTTTCAAAACCAGCAAATCCTGAAATTCTCTACACACTTTCTAAAGAAATCATTTGAACTTTCATTTAAATCCAAAAAAATAAAAAAAGACATTTGAGTCAGATCAGACAAAATGGTATTGTTATGACAGTAAACCTGTTCTTTGCTATTTAAATGTGTATTTTTTTCGCCACCTGATTTAGACTGAGGCACACTAGTGTTAGCAGTTCTATGATTTTTAATAGCTCTACATGTATCATTACTCTGATCTTTATGCTGACAGTCATTACAATTATACTGTTCTGTCAACAGGTCAGGAAGAGTCCTATATGTACATGAGAATTGATTTTGCATGGATGAGTAGAGAAAGCAATACTTGCTTCAAGGTCTGCTCTGATTTATGCAGACATTTCTCAGTTTTTGTGAAGTACTGTCATGGAATGATGGGCATGGAAATGGGACGAAACATAAGAGCATAGCTTCTAAGCAAAATACTTCCAACTTATTGGTTGCTATGAATTGTAAAATGTCACCCTGAAAACTCAGCTTCTGAGCTTGCTGACATAGTTTTCTAAGGACTTTCCCAGGACAGTAACTGTAAACATAGATATGTGTACATTCTTTCTGTTACACGTCTTGTGATGGGCATCTCTCATGGCCAGTGCAGTGAGAAAGTGTTATCCTGCCCATCCAATCCCTGGCCGTGGTCAGAAGCCTATAAATCCTGGGAGGAAAAATAAACTCTCTCTTCTTTTCACCACAGCTCGACCTGTGTCCGTGTGATCTATTCATCTTCAGCAGCAACAGTAAAATACTTAAAAAAAATTAAAAGGCAGCTGTTGCACAATCAACAAAAGTACGTTACAATATTAGTCCAAATTATAGATACAACTCAGGTGTGGTGACAGCTCACAAAGTCATGTTGTTTGTCAATGTTCACTCATGGCTACATATATCATGGCTCAATATATGTTGATAGTCCAAATGCTGTGTGCACTGACAACTGTGTATTTGCTTCTCTTTGAGCTAAACATGAATGAACGCATGCAGGCATGAATGAATTAAAGTTTGGCTGAAAAGAGTATATTTTCCTGTATGGTTGCTGGTGCTTCAAGTCACACAATTGACATTGTGACATTTCTCTGATAATAATTTGTGCACAGTTGCAGAGGAGTAATCTCTCATATGTCTTTCAAGGCAGTTATGAAACTGCAATGGGATGTTTTCTTTGGAAAGAATAGTACATATTTTGCAAAAATATAAGGCTGGCATCAGTCAACTAGTGGGATTCCACAGGGCTCTATCCTCTTCAACATACTCGTTCACCTAGACACAGGATTCAAAAGGATACTAAGTAAATTTGCTGATGACACTAAACTGGGAGGGGCTGTTGACTCCCTTGAAGGCAGAGGGGCTCTGCAGAGACATCTCGACAAATCAGAGAAATTCCAATCGCCTACCATGTGAAGCTTAACAAAGGCAAGTAACAGATTCTGTGCTGGGATGGGGCAGCCCTGGATGTATGGACAGACTGGGGAATGCAAGGCTGGAGAGCAGCACTGTGAAAAGGAACCTGGGGGCCCTGGTTAATGGCAAGCTGAACATGAGCCAGCAGTGCCCTGGCAGCCAGGCAGGCCACTGGTGTCCTGGGGGCATCAGGCACAACATCAGCCAGGCAAGGGAGGGGATTGTCCCGTTCTGCTCTGCACTGGGGAAGCTTCACCTTCAGTGTTGGGGGTAGTTCTGGGTGCCACAGTATACAAGAGACATGGGGCTATTGGAGTGTCCAAAGGAGGGCCATGAAAATGGTCTGGAGGGAAAGTTTATGAGGAGAGGCTGAGTTCACTTGGTCAGCCTGGAGGAGACCCCATTGCAGTCTTCAATTTCCTCATGAGGGGAAGAGGAGGGGCAGACACTGATCTTTATTGTAACCAGTGGCAGGACTCAAGGTAACAGCGTGAAGCCAAGTCAGGGGATGTTTAGGTTAGATATTAGGAGAAGGTTCTTCAAAAGGTAGTGGTTGTGCAGTAGAACAGCCCCCCCAGGGCTGTGTCAGGTGTGTCAGGTCACAGCCTGACAAAGTTCAAGAAGCATTTTGACAATGCTTTCAGGCACATGGTGTGACTCTTGCAGTGTCGTGTGTAGGGCCAAAAGCTGGACTTTGATGATCCCTTCCAAATGAGAGTGTGCCATGATTCTATCATTAAAAGGCAGAACTTTGGTAGCACGCAGGTGCTACCAAATTCTACTATAAGTGCTACGATTCTACTATAGGTATTAACTTTGGGATATACCAACTGAAAGCTAATTGAAAATGACAATTAATTTATCTATTCAGCTAATTGAGTAGTTTGTACTATACGTGAACCACATGGGCAAATAACTGGTCATCATTTGATGATGAGGGTTGACATTGTCATTTCCTCATCTTCCACAAGTAAAAAAAAATTGAGAACAAAAGGCATGCAGAATGATGCTTTCTTAGTTTCAAATCAACTATAAACAGTTTGCAAAGTTTGAGTTTCTAAAAAGACATGCTTAGCCAAGGATACCCACCCTCAAAAAACTTCCCTTGACATTGTGCTTTCCAAATGGTAGAATTATGGTTTTTTTTATTATTATTTTTTTTCCAGAATAACCAACTTGCAGCTAATTCTGTTACAAGAAATAGTTCTGTCTTGGATTGCAATGCAAGATGTAACCAAATGTATTCTATTACCATCTGTTAAAACCAGGTGTGGAAGTGTTCCTTATCTCTTTCACAACCCATCCTCCCTCCAGGGGGATATTAGTGGCTGCAGTCCTCCTGGAGCAACAGATGTGGTTCTGTTGAATCCTGTAGAAGGCTGTAGTTTTCCTCTGAAGGTGCAGTGGTGATGTAAAATGGTCTCTCATCTGGGAATCCAGTGGAAAAAGGCTGCCTGTGGTGTTCCCAGTCTCAGATTAGATCCAGGTAGGGATGCTTGGCTCCTCCCCCTGGGTGGTGCATCTCACAATGGGATGATGTAATTTTTTCAGTCACGAAGTCAGACTCAATGGCCCATTAACAGAAGATATCTCCTTGGAGGGAGGATGGGTGTGGAAGAGCTAAAGAGCACTGCCCAACCTGGTTTTAACAGCTGGCCCATTAGCAGAAGATATCCCCCTAGAAGGAGGATGGGTCATAGAAGAGGTAAAGAACACTGCCACACCTGGCTTTAACAGATGGTAATAGAATACATACTTTTGGTTACATCTTGCATTGCAACCTAAGGCACTGTCACTAACAAGGTGTCTTCATTCTTCCCCCTGACTGAACTTGTCTGCCTGTTTCCTATCCCACAGACAGTAAAGGTAAGAGCCTGGCAATCACTGGCACGGCCACAACAGCAGCATGGAATCATGTAACAAAAGTTACTCCTGCTGGAAGAAGACCTATTTATTTGTGTAGAAGAGTAGTAATTTTCCTCTCCTTTCTAAAGAGTCATGACAGGTGTGGATGCAGCCACACTCTGCCACAAATGCTACCTTTACAAGGATGGCTAATCTATCATGTGTGCGTGGGAGCAGTGAATAGTAAGCTGCAGTCATGAGGGAAGATGTGACAAAGCAAACACATGCTGTTTGGGAGTGAGAGAGCATTTCAAGCAGCTTTGAAGTGAAGCCAGGCAGCACCAGCAGTCTGTCCTGTTTGCATATGTTCCCTTTACCAACTTGAGAGTGGGAGGAAGAGCAGAAGCTAAGGAAAGTGAAAAAAGAGCTGTTACAGCCAGTGAGATCTCAGTCTCTCCTACCACTGTATTTTCTTTTTCTGTATTACACTCCAGATGCTTGTCTTCTGTGGTCTTTTTCTTATATTTCCTCAGCCCCTCCTCATATCTGCACCCCTCAATTAGAAGTACACAGGTAGCCATCCATGGGAACTGCCTAGACAGTGGGCACAACTTTTCCCTTATAGCCAAATGATCCTGGCAAATAACTTTTCAGTGTGTGTGGGAAGCTAGAGCCCAGCGCTTGGAAGATATCGGGACGTAACGGAAAGATAGT